AGAGCCTGCAGTTTTCACCCTAACATTCAGTGTTTCTTGTAATCTAGTTTCTGGAAAGGGAAGGAAGTAGACTACTGCGAAGACTTCTATTTTTAAAATTTGTTTTCTTTGCACCGATCGCAGTGTAGATGAAAATAGTTGAGAAACCCTTCCAATATACTCTAAAAATGTCTTTTGTTCATTCTGATAATCTGAATGAATGAAATAGCACAGTTAGGGCCAGAGCTTCAGCTGCTGGATGTATCACAGAGGCAGTTTGCACTCGGGAAGTACCTGGATGTATTTTTTGTAGCCACATGGGCCCTCTACGAAACTGCCATGTGGTGGGGAGTGATGCTGGTGGACCTGTGGTCATGACACGTGAGCATAAGCGTGTAGTTGCCATTATGTTTAATAATCCACTTAATAATCTTATTCTGCAAACTGCCAGTGATAAAAGAAGATACAATGGAAGCAAATTTACTATGTAGAGCAGTGGTTGTGAAGCAGTTTTAGATCTTGGAAGCCTTTTGAAAATCTAATGAAGGCAACTTGCCCTCTTCCCAAATTGGAGTCATACACAAACTTTCAGGCATAAAACAGCAGCTACCTTAGCTTATCCATATTTATCTCGCTTTTATACAGCTTTTAATTTTTCTTGTCCACTTACATTCTTACAAAACATGTATTTGTTTGAGAGGAGTGGAGAGACAGGGAACTCCTTTCTGCTGAGCTGATTCGATTCCAAATGCCTGCAACAGCCAGGGTTGAGCCAAGCTGAAGCCAGGAGCTGGGAAATTAATCTGGGTCTCCCACTTGAGTGGCAAGGGCCCAGCTGCTGGAGTCATTATTGCTTCCTTCTAGGGTGTATATTCATGCAGGAAGCTGCAACGGGGAGCAGAGCCAGGGCTCCAGCTCAGGCCCTCCGCTGCAGCCAAACACCCACTTCATATTCACGTGCTTTATAAGTGTCGGCGTGTACTTTTCAGTTCCTTTCTGCTTAAATTCTTACTTGAGAACTTCTTCCTTCCTCTTGAGTACTGCTGCACGGTATTCCACTGAGTTATGTACCTCTCTGATGCTAGATGGACCGGTTATTTCCAGCTCTGCACTTCACAGAGAATGTTGTAGATGACAGCTGTAGCTTTTCAGTCTTGGATTACTTGCCAAGGGTAGGTTCTCAGGGATGAGGGTAAGCATTCCTTCTTTCATGACCCCATTAAGCACCTACTATATGCAAGGCTGGACCAGAAGCTTGGCCATTTCCATGACACTTGATATGCTTTGCCATTCTTTCCCAGTGTGCTAGGGGAACTGCTTAACCAGTCAGTCAGCTCTGAATTGTCCAGCCCAATGGACCTGGTTACTCATCTGGGAATGGTTAGAAATAAACTAAAAGCAGAACAACGAAGGTAAATCTGAAGAAATGGTGACATATGGTTTATTGAGGTGCACTTGACTTTAGAACTAGCTGCTGTTGTAATTGTTGACAAAATTCAGCCTTCTTTTGATGTGATAACTGAGAGGTAGCATTTTGACCAAACCAGAGGATTAGAGCACTGTATAGGGTTAAGTATCCTTGTAAATGACCAGTATATATTTAAAGCATCTAGAAAAAAATGGTTAAAGCAGAACTCCAGTACAGAGCCTTTAAAAAATTACTGATTTATTTGAAAGGCAGAGTTACAGAGAGGAAGCGACAGAGAGAGAGAGAGAGAGAGAGGGAGGGAGGTGTCAGTCTTCCATCTGCTAGATCACTCTCTGAGTGGCCACAACAGTCATATCTGGACCAGCTAGAAGCCAGGAGCCTGGAACTCCATCTGTGTCTCCCACATGGGTGGCAGGGTCCCAAACACTCGAGCTGTCTAACACTGCTTTCCCAGGAGCATTAGTAGGAAGCTGGCTCAGAAGTGGATCAATCGGGACTTGAACCTGTGCCTGTATGGATGCTGATGTTGCAGGCGGCAGCTTAACTCGCTATGCCACAGAGCTGTCCCCAAGTATACAGCCTTATGAATGCTTCCAAACTTATGTTTTGTGAATATTTATTAAATGCCTTGAATGTGCTAGGAAGACACATGTATTGCATATCCTCAGTTATTCTGTTAGTGGGTCGTGACAAACAAGTGTCCACAGATCATTGCTGCAGCAGTAGTGGGTGCTGTGTGGTACAAAGGAGCATCGGTTTAGGCATCTCCTCACCAGGGGTTTTATTATAGAGAAGCCCCTTTCATGGTCTACTTTCATATCTTAAGAGAGGGAAACAGCAATTTACAGACTAGTTGAGATGAAAACTTAAATAACTTCAGTGTGCATTCAAATTGAATAATCGAAGGAACTTTGCCCATGTGAATGTGATATGGCTGGCTGGTTGGAGGGAAGTAGCAGGCTGATGGTTATTTAAAAAGTCACTAGTTTCTTTGTAAATGTAGTTTTCATCATTGAAGGGGTAAAAATAAAATAATAGAACTATGTATGCTGTCATCAGCACTAGCAAAAGCATGGTGTTGTAATAGGATCATCTTTTGTTACCTAAGCTAAGAGCAGAAGTGTTGGTCTGCTACTGTTGTTCAAATCAGTGGACTCTCTGAGCCTAACTGCCTAGGTGCAGTTGTCGCTTTGCTGGTTACTAACTGTAATGTGGAGCTTTATCCACACTTGTACTTCTGTTCCTCAGGGAAATGCTGGGAGATAATGACGCATATTTCATAGGGCTGCCAGGCCCAGAAGATGCTGCGCTATGTCCTCTTACCTTCAATAGCACTTGCTGCTGTCGTCTTCCTTCTTAAAACACTCTTTTCTGTCCTGAAACCCCAAAATCCAGTCTTGCTTGTTGTATCTCCTGCTGCTATTCATTGGTTCTTCTACCCAATTTCTAAAGATTTGTCCTGGGGCCAGCATTGTGGTGTAGTGTGTTAATCTGTCCTCTGCAGCGCTGAGTATATCATATGGGTGCCAGTTCAAGTCCCAGCTGCTCCACTTCTGATCCAGCTCCCTGCTAATGCACCTGGGAAAGCAACAGAGGATAGCCCAAATACTTGGGTTCCTGCATCCATGTGGGAGACTCGGATGAAGTTCCTGGCTCCTGGCTTTGGCCTGACCCAGCCTTGGATGTTGTGGCCATCTAGGGAGTGAACCAGGAGATGGACAATCTCTGTTCTGCGCTCAGGCCGTGGCGGCCATTGGAGGGTGAACCAACGGCAAAGGAAGACCTTTCTCTCTGTCTCTCTCTCTCACTGTCCACTCTGCCTGTCAAAAGAGAAAAAAAAAGATCCACTAATGATTTTGCATTGCATGTAAGATAAAACCTAATTTCCTTCCATAGCTTACACCTCTGGGATCTGTTTCCATCACTAGGAAATATGGGTAATTGTGACTTTAGACTATAAGCTCTGTGAGGGGACAGATTTTTATCTGCTTTGATCACTGCCATTTTCCCACTGCCTAGAACATTATTTGCACACAATGGGCCACTCACTAATATTTGTTGAAAGAATGAGCATCTTTCGGCTATATGGGCTCCTAAGCATTTCTTCTTTTCTTTTCCCTTAAATAAGGAAATCCAGCAGTAGGTTCTGGGGCAGTATCTCTCTTTTTTCCCTTTTCACCTTCTATGCATGGTCCACTCCCTCTTCTCCCCTTTCGATCTTTCAGATCAGGGTATGTTTGAGTCCTTAAGAGAAGATAGGTATGTAAGTACAGCAACAGAATGGAAATTGGAGCCCTGAAAATAGCACCAACAGCATTTTAAAATTAAACATTGTAGTGTAGAAATCTTGTGATACATACAGAAATTGTAGTAGAATCGTGGATCCTCAACCCGCCATCATTCATCATCAGCCGTTACCAATGTATGGCCATTCGTTGAGCAACCAGCATTTAACCTGAGTATTATTTGTGGTGAGGGAATGTCTAGTTTATAGAGGTATATGCCACGGATACGCCCTTGCGTATACTTATAAAAATTTGTGGAAATGTGGAATTGAAAGATACTTATTTGGTTGCAGATGTTCTTTTTAAATTAATGCATAGTCTTTTGATAATTTGTATTTTCCATTAACTTTTTCAAGACCTCCTTGCACGCATGGGTTTCAAATAATTCTTTTTTCTCCAATGAACTTATTTTTTTACTACTGTCTTCTGGGGCTAGTGTTGTGGTATAGCAGGTTAAGCTGCCCCCTGTGACACCAGCATCCCATATGGGCAGCAGTTCAAGACCCAGCTGGTCCACTTCCGATCCAGCTCCCTGCTAGTTGAGCCCCTGCACCAACGTGGGAGACCTGGAAGAAGCTCCTGGCTTCCGCCCGGCCCAGCCCCGGCAGCTATGACCATTTGGGGATTGAAACAGTGGATTGAAGATCTGTCTCTCTCTCTCTCTCTCTCTCTCTCTCTCTCTCTCTGTGTCTCCCTTCTCTCTGTCTGTAACTCTGCCTTTCAAATAAATAAAAAATATCTGTTTAAAAAAAATACCATCTTCCATGGGTTTTTTTTCGAGTCCCCTGATATCTTAACCTGATCATTTTTAGTGTTCTGTAAATGAGCTGAGGACAGATTAGGCTTGATTTGAAGGATGTTAGAAATATTCTAGAGTATCTTTTCCAGTTCATTTTTTTTTTTTCCTGTGAGCATCTGGGATCTCACCATTAGTGCAATCATCAGAATGCAAAATGCAAGTGAGCCTGAGAAGGGACGGACGGGAAGCTCACCGGCAGTTGCTTGTAACTTAACGTAAATTGGTTAATTAGAAGCATGCTTCACTGGTACATAAGCAAGAACAGGCTCTGATGAAGGTATAAAGTCAACGGGGGCCCAGGGTGAGGGTGGCCGAGTAAGGGCAGGGAGTCCTGTCCAGGAGCCTGGGAAGGAGCTGCTGTCCTCTCCGGCTTTGCCTGGCGGCCTGGCTCAGTCTGTCCCGAGAGGGTCTTGCTGCAGTTTGGGGATGCTCCCTACCTGGCCACAAGGGCCCTGGAAGGCAGTCCAGAAGGGGCTTCCAGTTAACTCTGCTGCTTGTTTATTTTTAGGTATCTTGCAATATATTCAGAACTCTCCCTCCTAGTGACAGCAACGAGTTTGATCCAGAAGAAGATGAACCTACCCTTGAGGCATCCTGGCCACACTTACAGGTACATTGAACTACCTTTGTTATAAAAGAAATAGCCATTAGCCCATTAGCTGACGAGCACGGGAGTTCCCGGAAGGCCTTTATTCACCAAGGAGTCACTTGGAGGACATGAATGGAAGGCTGGAGTGTGCTCTTTATGTTTCTTTCTCTTCATAATGAGAACGGCAGAAGTTAAAGAGCACGTTTCAGTGGGATGCCTTGCTGTGGGCCCCTCCCCGTGTTGCGGGCCTGCAGCAGCTCCTGCCTTTGTGGGGGCTTGTCGGTGATCCCGCCCGCTGGAGCCTCAGACAAGGACAGAACCATTTTCACATTAATATTAGTTGGATGTGATTAGGTCACAGAGTACACATCTCATTTTTAGCAGTAGCTAACCCTGGGGACGTTGTGTGCCTGTCCTTATGATAATCATAACTGTGTCTCTTTAGAACAGTCTAGCAGGGCAGAACTGGACCGCAGCAGCGTTGTAAGGAAGAGCAGCAGCTGGAGAAAGCTTGGGGGAAGGCCAGTTCTGTTCTCTCACACCGGGAAGGCCGTGTTTTCCAGCCCCGCTCAGGTGCGGGGATAGGTCGGGGCCTCGCACGTCTCCGTTTCCAGCACTGGGCCCATCTGTATGGCGCTGACTTTTACATCCTGGCCATTTTACAGCTCCTCCCTTCCTGGCTGCCTTCCCTTGTGACCAGCGTTTCTCAAAATGTTAGCGGAGATGGTGGAAGAGGTTTTTGTCTTCGTGGAAGGAGGAGCTCAGACGTGAGACAGGAGTGGGAAACAAGGCAGCAGGGTTGAATGGGGTGGGGCGTCCGGCCTCTCTGGATGGCATCTGAGAGCGCTCAGCCATCCAGGCTGGGGTTAGCAAAGTTACGTGGCTTCATGGAGAGGGTGCACCTGCCAGCCAGGCGAGCATCTCAGGAGAGAGCTGAGTGCCGAGTGGAGAAAAATACTCCTGCTAGACTGAGGAACGTCTCAGGAGAGACTGCGCATGCCGTCTGTATGCAGATGGGGCCTTATAAGGGAATGGGGTCCAGCTCCTCCCTCCATTTTTCTTTTCCCCATCCTCTTCTCCTGGGCAAGGCATTTGCTGGATGTGAAATAGGTAAAATTCCTCCCAAGGTTTTGTTGCCAGTGTTAGTGGACTGGGGAGCCCACTTAGCCCTGGGCAGGGAGGGTTCTCCTGGAGTTTATTCCTTGGGGCTAAGGCTGGAAACACCTATAAAGTTACCAGGGTATGGGCAAGATTTTTTTGTTTTTTAAGATTTATTGATTTATTTTGAGAGAGTTGGAGGGAGAGAATGAATCTTCTATCCACTTTTTCACTCCCCAGCATCACTGGCTCAGGCCAAAGCTGGGAGCCAGGGTCTTTATCCAGGTCTCATATGTGAATGGCAGGGGCTCAAACACTTGGACCATGTCCCACTGCTCTTCCCAGGCATTAGCAGGGAGCTGGATTAGAAGTGGAACAGCTGGGACATGAACCAGCACCCATATGGGCTGCTGGCCACAGGCTGCGATTTTTAGCCACCAAGTCACAACTCGGCCCTACGCAGTATGGTGAACCCTACTAGGCTGCTGCATCCCTTTGCACAGGGGCTTTTTTTCCCATAGCCCCTCATACACACACAGGCTAATGTCTCAGCTTCCTACCTAACAGAAGAACAGAACAAGGAAACTGGGGTAGATTGACTCCCAGAGCCATCTTTCCATGAGTCATCGTGTCCTCAGAGTGGAGGTGACAAACACCAAGGAGGGAAGGATGGAAGAGGAGCAGTGTAACCCTGTGCCTTCTCACCCCCAGGCAGAAGCCGCTGTCTTTGTAGACGTGTTCTCAGGCTTCCTAAATGACCTTTGGAAGATTAAAAAAAAAATCCGTCCAGCAGGGAGATAAGACCTGAAGATACTCTGCTTACTTTTCCCCCTCATAAATTTTTGACAGGGCATTTGCATTTTTGCCTGTTGTGCTTTGGCAATTCAGGGTTGCTACAGACACCCATGTATGCTATTTTCCCAGCTGTATGTCATATGAGAGCTTTGGGGGGCTCTCTTTTATCCGTTCCAACATAGGCATTTCATGCATATGTATTCATGCTTTCAGTGCCGGGAGTGGGTAAATTAGTTGACATTATAATGGATTTACTCTCTTAGGTTTTTTTTTTTTTTTAAGGTGCCAGACGTGCTGTCTGCAACCTAAAAATTTGTAAAACTATTTGTGCTTTTCATAGGCACCTCTCAGGCTGTGAAGCAATGCAAAACAAGAATTGTTCTTCTGAATGGTGGACTTCTTGTCAGGTCTCAGCTGTGATGCGTGGCACCAGCTCATGGGATTGCAGTTTAGAGTGAAAGAAGAGACTTTGGTTTCTTCCTTTGTCGTCTTCCTTCTTTAAATCTCCCTGGGAAAGTCCCATATCTGATGATGGAAAAGCCAGGAAGAGAAATGTCTTCCAAGCTTCAGCTTCTTGTGTCTTCTCTGTGTCCCACAAAAGAGAGAACAGAGCACTCCCCTCACTGGGAAGAGCTTTTAGAATGCTCTAAAATCGCACTACCATAGGTACAGATTTCCTGTAAAGTTCGGTGACGTTTAACTCAGTACTTCTAATTCTTCCAGTACTTAACAACTCTGTAAGACATAGCGCCAAATTAATTCCTGAAGCTATTAGACTGAATTCTGGCATGAAAAAAACTCTAGCTTACGCTGTCATTCCAGCAGGAATAGTATGAATCATTGATTCATCTGAAACCCTAAAGTCAAGGCAGCCTTGAAGAGTGGTGATGAAGCCTGGCACCCTCAGGGATATAAAGTCGTAAACTGTGTTACAGAACAGGCTGGGTTCATCTGTGTTGACATCCTGTTCGAGCCTGTAATCCTCACCCCTTCTTCTTTAGCTCGGGGGGAGGAAGTGACCCACTAAGTCTTGGTAGGTGTAGGCCTATTACTCTTAACTGCACAGGTCAGGCAGGAAAGTCAGCCAGTGGGAGCAGGTGCATCTGTTGCTCTGTGGGTCCCTCTGCAGCTTCCTGGCTGGTTTTGTGAGTCCTGTGTTCTCCCTTGTGCGTGTTAGTCACAAGACTGGTCGCCTTTCTGTTTTCACTGATAGCTGGGTCAGTACTGACAGAGCCCTCGCTGAACGTCTAAGAAATCCCTTTGCTGTTCACGATAGGTCGTCCCGTGATGGTCCCTCGTCACTGAATTCAGCATTTTACTTATTAATTGAGCCAACGGTCTTTTTCCGACTGAAACACAGTGTGGTCTTAGACCTTTTCACTTTGTAAAAACTCCATGAGTAGCAGTGTGTTTCCTTTTCTGGATGACATTTTACAAGAAAGCGGAGTGTACAGGGGAACTTTAAAAAGCTTGTGGGAACTGGAATAAAAAGATAAGTTCATTATGCTTCAGAAAATGTTGGAATTGTATATAGTGGTTGGTCTCCAAAATGTTTGTAGAGAATGTGTATTATGAGAAACTGCATGGACTGAAACTTTTTTTTTTTTTTTTTTTGCATAAAGTGATTATCTTAATTCCATTTCCCATGGGCTTTCTGAGTACAGTGAAGAACAACACAGCATTGGGATACAGTTCTTGAGTTGTTGGTGCCATTGCCTTGTTAGCTCATCGATCTTGTTTCAGGTTCTCTGATCTTGAAAAAAATGGCAATTTGTTGACTTTTGTGTAGTATCAAAAGAAGAATATCTACAATAGACTATTAAAATACTCTGTTTTTTCAGCTACTAGATCTGTGTGACTTGAGTTGCTTTATATGCTTTAATCAAAACAGTATGTCACAACAGATTTAATATATAGATATTAATCTATCTTCTATTAAGCCAGCTATTAAAGTGGTTACAAAAATATAAAACAGTGCCCCTCTTCTCATTGTTTTGGAAAATAAAGTTATTTTTCACAAAAAATTATTTTAACTACTAAAGCATTTTAAATTTTCTCGGTTTTTATTTCTAACTTGAGACATTTTATATATATATATATCTCTTACATATATCTTATTTAGACAAAAAAGTGTTTTGGGATCCCGATTAAATTATAAATATAAAGGATTAAGACCAAAAAGTTTGCAAATGGTGTTGAGAGCGGTAGTGATGATGATACATTTCAGTCACTGGCACAGATGGTTTGGTATTTATCACCACATTTAATAGGGTTTATCCTCTCCTTTATGAAGTTATAGAAACAGTGTCAGAGCTGGACTTGCAATGTAGCATCTGTCTCTTAAACTACTTAAGTGTTGGGTTCATGTACTGTTATGTACTACGTGGGGACCTAATACAGATGTGTTATAGAGAGAGGACTCACAGTGCATCCTTGGCGTGTTCTCAGGACAGTTACTGGAGAGTGACTGTTTGCAGATGACAGTATGTGCCACTCTGCGGTGCATTGCTTGGAGGAGTATCAGCTGCTGTAAACTTTCTGGAAGTAACTTTGTTAATGAATATCTAAAGCCTTAAGTGTTTTGATATCTTTTTTTCCTAGAAATTCCACTTAGAAATATTTATTCATGAAAGAATTGAACAAATGTATACTAATGTACCTTGTATAATGCACATTATGTCATAAGTTGGTAGAGAAATAATTCAGAAACTACTGAAATGTTTAAGCATAGGAGATTGGCTAAATTAGTTATGAATAATGGAAATCATTATACATTATGTATGATACCCTGAAGCTACTAGGAATGATGGTTCAGGTAATTGTTGACATAAAGTGTTTACAATGTATTATTTAAGTGGTAAAAATAGTTTAGAGAACTATATAGGAATGCATTATAGTAAATTATATATAGAATATACAACATACATTAAGTATACATACTATACATATATCAAAGATACATGCATTCAAGTGGTAACAGTAGTAGTCTCTGAATGGTAAGATTATAGGGAAATTTCTGTACTTTTTGTGGCTCTATTTTCTGATTTTTAATTATTTTTTAGAGATGTATTTATTTATTTGAAAATGAGAATTACAAAGGAAGAGGGAGAGACAAGGAAGGAGGGTGAGACAGAGATCTTCCCATCCGCTGGTTCACTTCCCCAAATGGCTGCAATGGCCAGAGCTGGGGCAGGCCTAAGCCAGGAGTTTCTGGGTTTCCCATATGGGTGCAGGGGCCCAAGCACTTGGACTCTCTTCTTCTGCTTTCCCAGGTGCATTAGCAGGGAGTTGGATTGGAAATGGAGCAGCTGGACCTTGAACCAATGCCCACATAGGATGCTGGTGCTGTAGACGGCAGCCTAGCCTGCTGCACCACAGCACAGCCCCTGATTTTTAATTTTATTAGCTAAAAAAACATGGCAACTGTGAGCTACAGGAAGGGCTGGGATGACTTGTTGATTGATAAGAAAGCCCAGCTTTCTAATCCTGTCAGTTGTAGTCTTACAGGCTTTCATGGTTTTAGTTTTATTCTTAGTGAATCATAATTTTACATGAACTGTTTTCTGTTTCTTGCAGCTTGTATATGAATTTTTCATACGATTTTTGGAAAGCCAAGAATTCCAGCCCAGCATTGCCAAAAAATATATAGATCAGAAATTTGTATTACAGGTAAGCAAATTCTTGTGGTTGTGTTATTCAACTTTGTATAGTTCATCAGATTTTCTCTTACAATGACAGTTATAGCACCATATATGTGTGTGTATGTATGTATATATGTTAGTTTCCATTAAGAATAACAGGTACCTTTTTAATTTCTTTGTGGTGGGAATTGATTGCATTTTGCACAGCCACGAATGCTAATGCTTAAATCTTTGTGGTTTTCTTTCTTGAAGTTTAATTATAAAGGAATTTCATTTATATAACCCTGGTTTGTGTGAATATTTATGCAGCTTAAAAATTTGTATTTGCATAAGGATTCCTAAAGAACTGTTACTACATCTGTTAAAACTGAGTAGGCAGGTTCATGCTGTGGCGCGTAAGTAACCTGTAGTAACCAGAGGCTGGGTATCAGTGAGCTTTTACTGCTAGGAGACAGCAGTCTGACACTCGGGGATTAACTCTGACCTGTCCATTTGGAGCTTCCCAGGGAATCTACCTTGCCTGTCTTCTCGTCGTACCATTTATAACCGTTGGCCATACCTTCCCTTTTATTCGAGATGGTTTTCTCATGGCCCTGAGTTTTGAGCTAGTAAGCCCTTCCTCTTGTTTATCTGTACAGACAGGTACTTGAGCCACCATGGCGTATAGGCTGTTGTAGCTGCTTTCTGAGTGACACAGGAGGCACAGTGTGTCGGAGAAAAGTAAATGTCTGTATCCTCGTGGGCAATAAGTAGAATTTCAGCTTGTGAGTATGTGACACATAACAGATTCCTAGGATTCAGTTCAACAGAATACCAGAGGCAGGCCAGCTTCAGATATCAGAGGGCCACGGAGGCACCTCTGCACCCTGGGTAATGTGGCTGAGTGGGAGGGAGCTTTGGTGTGTTAGCTCATCAGCACCCCCATACCGACAGTCCACATTCCCTGAGGTCACAGGGCAGATCACTGAACCCTTCTGCACATTCAGGGTGCTTTGGTGCCCCAATAATTGTGGCTCACACCTTGGCATCAGAGGCTTTGGGGGAAGGAGGATTGAGCTGAGGTAGAGAGATATGCAGATAGCACACCAGCATCCCTGGATTGCGGGTTTAATTGGTAGATCAATACAGATCCTTCGACCAAGGAAGCAAACATCACTTCAGAAAACCTAAATAGAAGTAATAGATCTGTGCTTTGTGTTGTAAAACCCTTGCGTGTGTGTGGTGCTGTATAGTTGTCAGAGCTCCTGTTACATGTATTATTTGATTTGTACAACAGTCTTCTAGAATAGAATTGGCTAAGTTTTTAAGGCACATTTTCTAGGTGAATAAACTGAGGTCTGAAAAGATGATCAAGTTTGCCCCAGCACATTTCCTATTTTGGTTTTCTGTCCATGACGCCCCAATGCTGCTTGTGAGTTCCTTCACTTTGCCTGAAGTGACAAGAGAGGAGGAGCCTCTTTTTATTAAAGATTTATTTGTTTTTAATTTTTAATTAGTGTTTAACAGATTCTGTGTGCTTTGTAGATAGAATTCTAAGAACATCATGCTATTCCCTCCCTCCCCCCTCCCCACCCTTTTATCTTTCTTCCTTCTTCCCTTTTTTTAAATTTTTGAGATAACTTATTTTAAATTTGCATTATAGTAAAAAGGCTTAATACTTTGCAAATTAAGAAGTTTAACAAGTAAAAAGCAAAAAAACCATAGTTTAGAGGGAATATAGACAAAGGCTATAAACAGTAATTGAATGGAAAATGACCATTTCACCCATATACAGTAAATTTTAAAGTAATCCCAGATCATTAAAACTATAGTAGTGTAACATTCTTTCTTTCTTTTTTATTTTTTGACAGGCAGAGTTAGACAGTGAGAGAGAGAGACAGAGAGAGAGGTCTTCCTTTTCCATTGGTTCACCCCCCAAATGGCTGCTACGGCTGGCGCACTCCGCCGATCCGAAGCCAGGAGCTGGGTGCTTCCTCCTGGTCTCCCATGCGGGTGCAGGGCCCAAGCACCTGGGCCATCCTCCACTGCCTTCCTGGGCCACAGCAGAGAGCTAGACTGGAAGAGGGGCAACTGGGACAGAATGCAGCACCCCAACTGGGACTAGAACCCGGGGTGCCGGCACTGCAGGCGGAGGATTAGCCAAGGGAGCCATGGCGCCGGCCAAGAGTAGTGTAACATTCTTAACCATTGGTTTGACAAAGGTATAAAACAAAGTTTTACAAAACTATGCTTGTGGGGCCAGCACTGTGGCAGATAAAGCCGCCGCCTGCAGTACCGGCATCCCATGTGGACATTGGTTTGAGTCCTGGCTGCTCCACTTCCGATCTAGCTCTCTGCTATGGCCTGGGAAAGCAGTGAAAGATGGCCCAAGTCCTTGGGCCCCTGCACCCATGTGGAGACCCGGATGAGGCTCCTGGCTCCTGGCTTCAGATCAGCTCAGCTCAGGCTGTTGTGGCCATCTGGGTTGTGAACCAGTGGATGGAAGACTCTCTGCCTCTCTGTAACTCTGCCTTTCAAATAAATCTTTAAATAAAAAAAACTATATTTGCAGCAACTGATACACACAAACTTTTTGTTGTTGTTGTTGTTGTTGTTGATTTTTGAATTTTAGCTCCCACATATAAGGGAGAACATGCAGTATTTGTCTTTCTTGGTCTGTCTTATTTCACTCAGCAAGATGTCCTCCAGTTGTGTGCATTTGCTGCAATGGTAGAATTTCATTCTTAATTTATAACTGAATAATATTCCATTGTGCATCAGTGCCACATTTTGTTATCCATGCATCTGATGATGGACACCTTGGTTGAATCCAAATTTTGGCTATTGTGGACACTGCTGCCATAAACATGGTGGTGCAGGTGTCTCTTGGACACATTGTGTTCAAGTCTTTTGGGTAAATACCCTGCAGTGGGATTGTGGGATCATGCGGCAAGTCTGTTTCTAGTTTTTAAAGAAATCTCCACACTGTTTTTGACAGTGGCTGCACTAACTCACATTCCTACCAGCAGTGTGGACGTGCTCCCCTTTGTCCACATCCTCGCCAGCATTTGTTACTCTGTGTTTTGGATTTTAGCCAGTGACAGGGGTGAGGTGATACCTGATTGTGGTGTTGATTTGCATGTCCCTGGTGGCTTGTGAGGCTAGCATTTTTACATGTATTTGTTGACCATTTGTGTTTCTTCTTTGGAGAGCTGTTTTTGAAGTCCTTTTACGTTTCCCAGCTGGATTGGTGGTTTTGTTGTTGAGCCTTTGGAGTAGCTGATTTATTCAGGATACTAATCCTTTGTCAGAATGGTGGTTTGCAAATATTTTTTCCCGTTCTGTTGGATGTCTCCTCACCCTGTTGTTTCCCTTGCTATGCAAAAGCTTCTGAGTTTGATAGCGTCGCGTTTGTTTAGTTTGTTTAGTTTGGCTTTTGTGTAGCCCTTGTGTTGACACGGATGAAGTGGCGGGTTCTCATATGTTTGGCAAATGAGTATGCCTGCGGGAATGACAGAGTGATGCTGCAGAAGAGCCTGTGTTTAGCTGACATGGAAACACGTGCTGAGGCCGGTGCTTACACAGGAGTCTGCAGGGCCAGCCCTGCGTGCGCTTCCTGGTGGACAGATACTGAAGACGGTAAAGCCCGCGACAGGAACATCCGGCACATCTAGGCTTGGAAAGGACTTTGGGGTTGCACGTTCCGGTTCTTTATCCAGTGATTCAGTCTCCTCTGAGGCACTTCTCAGTGAAGGAAAGCTATGCACTTAGGCAGGTTTTCCGTTTTTGTTAGAAAGTTCTTTTTATGTTGAGCCTCCTTATATTGAGGCCTGGTTTTCCCAGAGTGGTCTCAGTATATTGCTAGCCCAGAAATAACCTTTCGGGTGTTGGAAAACTGGTTTTGTGTTCACATGTTTTTCTCTAGGTCAGTGGTAAGTCTGGTATCCAGGTGTCCACAGAGGAGGTAGACTGGTGCCTATTAAAGGTGGCCTTGGCTCCCCCCTTATTTGGTTATTACCAGTCTTTTCTCCCCCTCCTCTTTGGGAAACAGAAATCTAGATTTTTATGTCACATTTTCTGATGCTGATAAATTCTCTTTAGGATGAACTCAGCCCATTTGCTTTCTGGATCAAGCCCAACAGCTGCTGAGTATCAGTTCTCTGCTCTAGACTGAGTGCTGAGTCAGCCTTTTTGCATTTGTCACTTCTTGAGGCCTCCAGCATGTTCTGGATGTGTCCATGTGTCTTCATGTACAACACTTAGGTCAGAGTGAGCGCTCTGAGCCTGCTCAGTCCAGCACGTCCTAGAGCTGGGTTTTCCATTCATGTCAACACTTAGGTCAGAGTGAGCGCTCTGAGCCTGCTCGGTCCAGCACGGCCTAGAGCTGGGTTTTCCATTCCCTTGTCTGGGTGTCTCAAAGGTTTCTTAAAGGGAACGTCTCATTAGCATTTCTTCCTGTTGTATGATGTGGACAACCGATGTCAAACTTGGGTTCTTGTGTCCAGCGTGATGGCCCAGAGGGTTAAGAACTTGCCAGGTGCTGGCAGCCTGTATGATTGAGTCCCAGCTGCTCCACTTCCTGCTAGTGCATTTGGGAGAGCAGCAGCAGATGGCCCAAGTGCTTAGGCCCCTGCACCCACATAAGCAACCTGCTTGGAACTCCAGTCTCCTGGCTTTGGCCTGGCCCTGCCCTGGCCACTCAGCCATTCGAGGAGTGAACCACTGACAAGATCTCTCTCGCTCTCCCTCCCTCCCTTTCTCCCTCTCTCCCTCTCTGCCTCTGTCTCTGCCTCTGCAATTGTGCCTTTCAAATGGATAAATAAATTTTTTAAAAAGCCAAAAAACCCTTGTGTTCTTGATTGACTTGATTGAGCTTTATGCATGTTGCTGTTAGGGCATGTTCCCCTCCCCCCGAAAGATTTATTTAATTTATTTGAGAGACAGAGTTACAGATGGAGAGAGGAAGAGACAGAGAGAGAGGTCTTACATCCGCCGGTTCACTCCCCAAGTGGCAGCAATGGAAGGAGCTGATTCGATCTGAATCCAGGA